TCATGACTCATCATTATTTTATGTTTCCTAAAACTACAAGGTGGAGAGCACTATACAGTACCAATCCTCGCCCTAATTTCATAGAATCTTATAGTTGAAAGACTTTTAGTGATCATCTATTCCAACCTTCTACCCAGTACAAAAATCTCTGCTGTAATATCCCTGACAGATTGCCAATGTAGCCTTTGCTTGAACACTTCCAGTGATGGGGAGCTCACTACTCTTGATGCAATCAACTCAATTGCTCATTGTTAGCAAGTTCTTTTGTTCATTGAGTCTAAATCTACCTTCCTGGGCCATCTACCTCTTGGCCCTAGTTCTGCTCTCCAGAATTACACAAAATTTATTTAATCTCTCTTTCATGAAAGCTTCTCAAATATTTGAAAATGATTACTATATACTCCTCTTAACCATTCTCTTCATCAACCTAAAAGTCTGTTTTCTTGTTGTAGATGTTTGTATATATGTATATATGTGTACATATATACATGTATATATACATGCTCCTATACATATAAAATATATATACATATATGTAAAGTGAAATACATATATGCAAAAGAAGTAAGCTTTTACTTTTGTAAAAAAAAAGAGTATATTATTTTTCACTATTTGAAAGACTTTTTAAAATCTCAAAATCACTGCCTTTTCTTCCAGAAGGACTTATAAATACCTCTAATTCTTGAAATTCAATAAGAGAAAAATAGTTTTCTTTCATGCATATGTAAAAGGTTCAGTTGGGTTGATATTTCAAATCACTTTTTTTATTTTTATCTCTTCCTCACAATTCTAAACATCCTTTGCCATCCAGGTTGCTTTTCTTCAAATGTTCTCTGGTATATCAACATCCCATTAAACAGTGGCACTTGAAGATAAACATAATACTCTAGAAGTGGTCTGGTTGCTGCATGGAACATTGGGACTATTTTCTTCCTTGATCTGGATACTAAACTCTTAGTGTTGCCTAAATTTGCATTAATTTGTAAAGGAGATTTGTCATACTGTTGATTCATTTGGGGCTCTTGGTTAACTAAAAGCCTGAGAATTTCCCCTGTTACAAACTGCTGTTAGCCAGGTCTCCTTCATCTTGTACTTGTTCAATTGATTTTTTGAAACCAAATGCAGGACTTCACGCTTATTCTTTTAAAATGTTATGGTGTTACACTTCCCTTCATTTCAGAGTTGGGGTCTATGAGTGTGGAATAATACATGTACAATCAGATGAGTTTAATGTGATTTATTTTTGTTATTTAATCTTTGTTACAAAGAATCGTTCATTGGGTAAGAGAGGGAGAGGAATAAATATAGAATTCAATGTGATGTAAAAAGAAAAGATATCAATATAATCTTTAGGGGAAAAATTTTATGGCCTGGTTTCCAACCTTCAAATCCAAACTATCAAACTTCCTCTTAAATCTTGATTGTCATCTGCCTTCCTCTCTGAGTTGTGTGATCTGCAGATTTCAGTGCAATGTTTTTCTATGTGGAATATCAAACTTAATTTCCAGGATCACTTTTGTAAGTTAAATCATTCCATTAGTTTTATAGGGCTCCTTTACTTTTCAAAAATAACACTTGTCAGTTCTCTGAATTAAACTCCAATGCAATAGTCTAGCTAGACCACAAGATTCTAAGGGCACTGTTTCTGCAGCTGTTGACCTAATTTTTCTTCCCTTAGTATGTGGTTTTTTGTTTGTTTGTTTTGAAATGTGCCTTGTCCAGGATCAAGAATTTAGATTACAGGTTCAGGACAGGGTGGTCTGGGCATTGATGTTTCCTGCAGAGGAGGCTTATTTTGGGACACCTTTAGTCTCTCTCACTGGCATATTAGGGAATAGTGGGCCTTAGAAAATGGAATTATTTTGGTAGGGCTCCTGGAAATTCATCAATTATCTATGACACGGCAAAGATCAGAGACTTTAGCCTAAGACTGAGCCATCTGACAACTCACTACCCACACACGCACACACGCACACACACACGCACACACACACACACGCACGCACACACACACTATAGTGTCCCAAAAGTCTTAGTGCAGTTTTAAGCTGTAACAGTTTAAAGTTTACATAGGTTACAGCTTAAAACTGCACTAAGATTTTTAGGCCCCCCATATTTGTTTTATTGAGACCTTTGGTTTTTACATAGCAGTAATTTCCAAATATAACTTTGAAACCACCATCCAATAATGCCTCCCTCATAACAATGAAAAACAGCCAAGCAAAGCCAACTGACAAAGTGATCTTTCTGAGAGTGCATGCAACATACATCACCCATTGCCCCCTGCCTCTCTACCAAAGAAAGAGGGGTATATTTTCTTATGTTTTCTGGAACCAAATTAGGTCATTAATATTATTCAGAGATTGTCTATGTTTTATTGCTCTTTTTGGTTTACATTAGGGTCATCTTTGTGTATGTTGTTTTCTGGGTTCTGTTCACTTCATTCTACTAGTGTTCCTACATATTCCTCTGAATTCCTTGATCATTTCTTATGGAACAATGATATCCCATTATATTTATATAGCCGCAGTTTGTTCAATTGTACTGTCATCAATGGTTACCTACTTTGTTCTTTTTTTTTCTTCCACAAAAATTGCTACTATAAATATTTTGTTACATATGGGGTGAGATTTGACTTTTACTTAAGAACTAATGGGAGAAAAATAAAGGGGTCAGCTGACTGTGATACCCTCTCATGATATTGCCACAGTTAGTGACCTAATGGGTGAGTCTTAGATAAGTATAGCATCACATAATATTAAAGCTAGTAGAGACTGAAAAGATTATCAAGGCCAATCTTTTCATGTTACAGAAGAGCAAACTGAGACCCAGATAGGGAAAGTGGATTGCCCAAAGAAACACAGTTAATTACTAACAGAGGCAGGATGAGAAACCATATCTCCTAACTCTCTATCCAGTTCTCTTTCTACAAGGTAATCACTACTACATAGAGTTCAAGACCAGAGCTGAGTTCAAGGTGATGTGACCTAGATGCTTCCCTCACTAGAAGGAAGACAGATGTCCACTGCTGCCACCAATATCACCCTTTCCTGGTACTCCTCCTATCAGATATAATAAGAACAACTGGTCCAAATATTACCCCTGAATCTAAGATACACTCTTCCCTTACACAAAGTCCATGGGGAGAGCGTTCTAACTCTTAAGGATACAAGGGTAATGAGGAACATGTGTGGCAAATGAGTACCTCCCACTTATTGTTCCAGAAGTCATTTTCTCCCTTCATGAAGTCCTACTAAAGTTCCCCTTTAGTCAAGCTCTCTACTTGGCTCCAAGGATTGGTATCTTTCTAGAATTAACACAGTGGACAGAGAAACTGTCATAAGGGGTCATGCTCCCTGAAACTGCTGATGTTCACAGATGATTATCTTCCTCTACTCTTGTCCCTCATCCCATTATGATAGGTGAGCCTTTTGCTTTGTTCAGCCAGGAAACAGACCATCATGCCACTTCCCATAGTCTCCCCATCATAGCCTCACTCTCCAGCACTCTCCACCCCACCAGAAACAAGACATCACTCCTAGCTCCCATGGTTCTACCAAGTGAGCCTTTTGCCCTTCTGGTCAAGAACCAGGACACCATGCCATTTTCTGCAGTCCCCTTAATGCACCCAGCTTTCCAGCATCCCTTTATGTTTTGTCTTCCACCTCCAGAATGTAATTGAGGGAAGGTACTGTTTTGTTTGTTTTTATATGCATCCCTACAGCTTAGCCCAATGCCTGGCACATAGTAAGCACATAATAGATACTCTCTCTCTCTCTCTCTCTCTCTCTCACTCTCTCCCTCTCTCTCTCTCTCTCTCTCTCTCTCTCTCTCTCTCTCTCTCTCTCCTTCTACTGCCTCTGGCCATTGTGGTGGCCCCTGCTTCTGCCACCATTTAGCTTCAATTACTCATAGGACCTCTGATGGGACCTCTGGATCTTCCAAACTCACAAGGTCACTTGGACACACATTGCCATTTCAGAACAGTGAGTTCTGAGAAAAATAAAGACAAAGAAACAAAGGTGACCATGTGCTCACAAACACCAAAGTTTGTGGGAGATCAAGCTAAGGTTCCTTTCCCACCATACTCTAAATTAGCACTAAGTAGTCTTGCAAATTGAAGTGAAAGCCACAAACAAAAGAGAGTAAAGGGTCCAGTCATACCTTTCTTAAAGCTACTCATTTCCTGCTCAGCAACCCCTGAGTCATCAGTTCCTTTTCCCCAGTCAATCAGAAGACTTTTCTTTATCACACAGTGCTAGCTTCACTCATGGAAAGAAGCAGGCCCCAAGTTTCTATAATTGGACTGAGACCAGGCTGGGATTATCTGTACATGCCCCAAGCACTGCTCCCTCTACACACACACACACACACACACACACACACACACACACACACACACA